TAACGCTTGCGCCAACAATCGTCTGCTCCGTTATACACTTCTGTCTGCTGTGCGCTATGTTACAACAGATTTGAGATACAACAGCTGGGGAATGATGACGATTAATGCTTAGTACACTGTGATTGAGTGATAACCATGGTAACTTTAGTAAGGCTGTGATTGGCCAATGAGTAGGCCTAAATATGGCGACTTGTTGAATTTGTGTATGAATTGAAGAGAAACCTATTAATTCTGAACAAAGAAAGAGAATAACAAGATTGTTCTCATTACATTTTTTTTCAAGAGTGTTTGAATTATCTCTAAATATAATTTTACACTTTTTTATTACTTATCTATCAATTCCTATGCTGTGATACAGCACCTATCGGTAGCCTATCTGTCTATCATGAGCAGTACCTTATAACACTTTCTAAAGGTTCCTTTAATATTTACGTTATTTATAGCAATGTAATGTTTGGCTAGTGATTAGTTGAGTTTGAGTTAGCTACAATTTTAAACGTTGCAGTTTGTACAACTGAACCAAGATAAATGATTTGAAATTTACAATAATAATGATTGTGCAATTTCGTTTATAAAAATGTAAATCGTGACTTAATGGCTGTTTACAACGTTTTAATGAGTTTGTCATCTGATTTTATACTATATTGGATTAACCGTATTTTTCATCCCCCCCTTTCCCTATTAACTCAGGTAATCGAGTATCTACACAATAGTGTAAAGTATTGTAGCCTATGCTACTTGCTACTTGATCGTATTTTAACGAGCTTTATGTCAACAAAACGTTCTGCTGTGCTAAGTCGCGGTGTAGCTGGACGTGTCTGTACCACGCGTTATCCTTTATCTATCACAGCAGTTGAGCCATCCCGTGCGCTCCCTCTTAAGATCTCACGTCTTGCTAATCTTAAATAATAACTTTCTACACACGAATCCTAAACTATCCTAAAATCCTATTATAACTAATTTAATTCAATAATATAACTAACTATTGTAATTAATTATCCACTTTCTATCTGGCGATTTCGTAATGTATTTTGGATTGTCGTCACATTGAACACTGTTGCAATTAACTTAAGCCCCCCCCCATTTGAATTTTTGAGCCCCCCCCCAAGAATTTCAATGACGCAGTCTGCGTCACGGCCCCCCCTTGTGGGCACCCCTGGGTTGTTCATAGCATGCCCGTCTCAGAAGCCCAGCATTAGTGGATTTTAAAGTGGGGTCTCACAGGCCCAGAGTTTTGGTTTCTGTGTTTCTAAGCAGGGTTCATTATTTTCAAAAGGGGTCTCACATACCGGGGATTTTAGTTAGTGTCAGCCTGGGAAGAGTTTTGTTATTAGTGTCAACATTTATACATAACCCTGCCTGAGAATATACGGATGTCGATCTGACTGGGGAAACCGGGACGTCAATTTTGCATTGTACTGGGCAATTTGGAATATACTACACAATGATAGAGTGTTCATTCATTAATTGTGTTCTTTTGGTTCTCTCTTAACATTGTGTCGCGAGTTAGTAAAGAAAATCGTTAAGGTTTAAGGGGAGACTTTCTGTGTTGCTGAAAGCTTCATAGATGCTTACAGTTACGATTATGGGGTTTGTTCACAATATTGATGGCGGGTAATAGTTGCGAATCTAAAGCCACAACCAAATACGAAATAATAATAATGCACATAATTGTTTTAAAATTGTTTTCTTTTTGAATTGTGGTTAATTTAGGTTCTTAAATATTTTTTATGTATAAGCAGGTAATATAAATCAGTTTTGCTTTTATGTAAGATTTGAACTGGACATTTTGAACCTTTGTCCTTTAGAATTTTGTTTTCATGACTCACTGGACACCTTGGATCGCTTTGAATATGTTGAGATTTTAATCACAATAAGAATTTCAACAACAGAATTGCCTTTTTACTGTGCGTAAAAAGTACGAATGTTATAGGTTAATACAAAATATGTTCAAGTTAACTGGTAGACCATAGCGTAATGGTTGACTGCTCCTTCTGTTCACTATGCAATCAATTTTTCACTATAAGCTCTTGTTGATAGTTTTTCCAAACAACTCTTTGTCTACAAATCCCTGTTTTGAGTAAACAATTCCCTCAAATAACCTTTATTCCTTTTTCATTGATATTGTAGGCTTTAGGCCTTTCTAATAAAATGTACCAGTGTGGAAACAAAATTGAAACTACTGTATCTACAATTGTGCAGTTAAGCTTAATTAATAATTTTGCATCGTCTGCTCATTTCTATGATTATACAACATCCAAACAGACATTTGAAACCTGAAAACCTGATGACGTTCAATACTATGAGAAATGAGTGTTTTGACATGACTATTTTAGTTTTCAACGCCTAATGGCACCATTGAATGCTAATAACTTTGTTGTGTTTTAGGTCGGTCTCATCGCTGCCAGAAGGACAGGAAGAATCAGAGGAGGAAAGAAAGATAACCTCAAGGGAGACGATTAGACTTAAATGGTTTTTATGTTTTATCACAATAAAAAAGTTTAAAAACCTTTAAGAGTATTACTTCCGTTTTTCGTCTCGCCTTTCTTGCATCACTAAATGGACCTTTACAATGTTATAGCATAGATTGAAAATAGGCTTACTTACTAAAGATTTATTTGTCATCCTTATGGATTAGTTGAAATAGTATATTACGTTACTAGTCCTGAAAATAAGTGTTTGCCGGACGAGTGTGGTCGTTCCTGTGCGAGACGAAGTCGAGTACGGGATAACCATACGAGTCCGGTAAACATATTTTGGACGAGTTACGTACGATAGTTTACGCCATACTACTAAATCTCTACAAATCCTTATATATTACCACCAACTAAAGGACTAAAAATCACTAGTCATAACCTCTAAGCGAGGTTATGTTTTTGTCTACAACCACTCATTGCCAACCAAATACAGTATAATCAGCTGATTGGTGTCCGGTAAAACTCATTGCATAACAGTAGTACGCAATGAAACCCCATTTGATTAAGCTGGCGGCAAACAGCTGTTTTCTGGACTAAATACTTCCGTGGGAAGTTCGTTAAAACAGTGTAGTATGGCGTAAACAATTTTTCCTACTACCGTTTTTTAAACTAGCCTTTTTTATTCAGTTCTTAGAATTAAAAAGATTCACTTTTCAGTATTATTTTCTACTCCTGTCTTAAAGACTATCTATACGCGACCGTTGTGTAAACTACTATTTCATCACTGCTTAGAAAAATTAGTTATTTTAATAACATCATGGGAACAGAGAAAATTAAAATATTAGCAAATTTTGAATTCATATACCTTATTCTGAAATGGCGACCATACAAATGTAGGTAATTTAAGCCAAACATGAATATTAGCATGCTTAGCAAATGTATTTTTTACACCTAGCTATTACAATTTGATTATATTTCTAGTAGAAGCAAACCTAAGTACTCAATACATCTTGTGTTACTTAAATCGATAAAACTGACTGGTTAAAAGGATTATTATTGTGAAAATCCAACCGTGTAAATGGAAATGGTCTTAGTTTGCAGGGGGGGGGGGGGGGGATTTTTACAGGAGGAAGTACTTAAAATGCTAAAGAAAAGATGACCTAACTGATATGTATTGTGAATGTGCGGAGAATGGATCCCTTACTGAAGACCGAGACGCTAACAACACACCCACTCTCCAATATATTTACACTTGTACCTTAAACATACTAAAATCTTAAATACCTCAAACATACTAGACAGTAAATATATGCAAGACGTTACAATTTTGACCAGTCATACTGACTGGTCAAGATTAGGCGAATCAGATTATATTCTTTTGCAAGGCAGGTCATATAAATCCTATTCTCAAATAAGAGCTGCCTGTTAACATGTTCAGTGCGGCAGGCATTCCAACAGGCACTCGCCAATGGTGGGGAAGCCCCGGCGCGGCACCATAACAAAGAACACAATAACAAAAGAGCAGCGGTGATAGTACTACATTACCCCGAGATTGGATGTAGTTCCCTCAAACACCCAAAGGTAGCAGCACTGCCTGGATTGTCAGACGGGATTTTACGGGAAATATTAACCTCGATATTCAAGGGAAGGATTTTGACTAAAATTTGGAATTAGGGACTTGTAGGACTAAAATTGTTATTGACAACAGCCACTACTTCAGGAAAATCTGTATTTTGCTACACAATTCAAACATTGGACTCGAAGTTTAATATTTAACACTCCTTTGACACAGTGGTTTTTGCCATATGGCTAAAAAGCACACATGTGTTTATTAGCCATCCAGAGTATACTAGCAAATTACAAAATATAGTGCAAAGGGAAAAATATTAGTGTACCAATGAGCAAAGATTACACTGAAGATTACTATATTAATATTAATTAATTACTATATTAATATTATACTATATAAGTGATATAGGGGAAATAGTTCCATCAAATGCTGATTATTTTACTAGGCTCTCTCCTTGCAAAACTTATCCCTGAAGCACTGAGGCAATTGTTAGCAAATTTTGGTACAGTAAAAAATGTTTGTAAATATGCAAATTAAATAACTATTTAATAATATTATATAGTTATTTTTTGTAGATATTAATTTAAACAAAAATTTTCAATTTAAAGAAACTGTCAGAACAATGTTGCTATTATAAATGTGTGATTAATCAAATGTACAGTAGGGGTTGATTAAAGAATTTTGGGAGTTTTTTTTTCTAGAGCAGGCATCCTTACTACCCTCAGGACGCTTTTTTGTGACCTGCAGACTGTTGGGAGCTATAACAATCAGAGTTATGAAAAAATTGTGATGATCCCTTCTCTAGAGCCAAGATTAGCCACTAGTATTATGGATCTCAAAGCATAATATTACAAAACTATTTTATGATTTGTGTCAATAAATTTGAATAAGGTTTCTCTGGGTAGAGAAAACTTCAGACTTACAATGATTGGACAGTTACCTTTCATAAGCTTAAAAAATACCAAGTGTAGAAAACAGAAGAAAAGTAAATAGGATCAAATGCATAGGCCATCTAAAGTTGTTGAAAAATTTATTCAACGATATTGGTGATAAGGCTGATGTCGGTGATGACTGTAGTGGCGGTCATGATGGTAATTCCCTCTCCATCCATCTCTATCTCTTCCCCAGTTTCTGTCTCTACCTCCATCTCTGTCTCTGTCTCTACCTCCGTCTCTGTCTCTATTCCAGTCTCTGCCTCTGCCTCCATGTCTGCCCCCACCTCTGTCTCTGCGGTCAAAGTTGCGACGGGCTCCATACCACGGATGAGCCACAGGGGGAGTAGAAGGCTGCTGCACCTGCAATATATCATTATAAAATACTTTTTTATCACACTCCTTACCGAAAGTAACTATTTTCGTTTCGATAACAGCTGATGTCAAAGAAAGTAGATGTTTCCTACATGGTCTAATTTGGAGCGAGGGAAAAACGATCAGCTGATTTTTCCTCACTCTAGATTAGTTCTCCTTTTATCCACTATGCGTGCTAGTGTTTTTTGTTAGGTTTATTTTAATGATTTAAATCAGCTGTTTTCATTGTTGCACAATTTAAATGTATTCAGAAACAGGCATTAGTTTGTTTTGCTGTGTTTTTAGGGTAGGGCGTGTTTGAAATTGCTCAAAGTATATCTAACATTACTGATGATTTTATGAAAACAGCTTCCGAGGTTGAGGTAGCTAATCACCTTCTACAGTAGAAATCACGAGAAAGATAAGAAGAGGAATACAGAAAGTTAAGAAACTGGTACAAATTACAAAATGTTAAGTCAATTAAATTAAGTAACCAAGTATTTATTTATCTAAAAAATCTATAATTATGAAACCATATGTGTACATTGTGTTTTCGGTGAAGAGTCGTCTAAAACTATTTTAATACTACTAAGGGGTGTTTGCGTGTATTTTTGCGTCGTGATGAAAAGTATCATTCATTACTTGTACGAATAAGCTATTTTCCGAAACATGCTCCATTATTCTCACCCTCTTTGCCTCACATATGAAATTTGAGCGTGCGCCAAAAAAAGCCACTTTCAGTCATAGTCATGAAATATACTACAATAGAACCTCTTTAATCCGAACTAATTGGGACCAGGAGTAGTTAGGACTATTGAATAGTTCGGATTACAGAACATATTGTTGTTTTTACATAACAATAGCTAGGGAAAAGTGAAAAATGCTTTATAAAGTAAAATAGAGTGTTTATTAAATACAGTAGTAAACATAGGGAATAAATAGTACTGTACATAACAATTGAAATAATTAATAAATACAGTATACCATAAAGAACTACTGTAATGTGTATAGAGTACAGCAATGATGCGTTCGGATTACAGGGGTTCGGATTAAAGAGGTTCTACTGAATTTTCATTCAGATTATGATCTAACATAATATTACGTATGAGATTTCAAACTCCTCATTGCCCCGAGTCACTAAGTAGTGAATGCGTATAGGCCTACATATATCTTACCAGATGAAACCTTGCATTAAAGAATTTACTAAACATGTAGCTCACTAGTAGCATCTTGCGCAGCCAAGTCAGAAATTATTGGTTTAAAACCATCCACAGCAGAAACCACTGGCTTGGCCAAGTGACTTTTTTGACTTATATATGATCACAGAAAAAATCAGTTATATAAAAATGATAAGATATTTTCAAGAAATGTTGATTATATCGATCTGTTATGAACATCTTGAGTATTTCCATAATCTTTGAGCCGAATCTTTTAAAGTCATCAGAAATTATGACTGTTATTGGTTTTAAAATAACGCCTGTAATACTTAGCAATTGCTCGAATTCGAGCAACAGGGACACTGGTATTTTTAAACAAACCAAAGTGTCTAATTCTAATATTAGTGATCTGGTCAAAGGGCAGGTTCTATCACTAGAAATCGCACAATGGAGGGATATGGTAAAATCTTTAATTGTTCTCTAAACATATTCATAAGAGATTATTTAATAGAGATTTAAAGAGTTGGATTTTACCTTGCAATAGTCAGGATCGCTTTCCGTGTACCGATTGGCAAACTCATTTTCAAACTCAGCCAGCATGGCTGCCTGTTCTGCTGTAAGCTCTGCCATGTTCTACCGTGTGAACAACTTCTCCCGGGTGGACAACGTCTGCGGAACTAGCATCAATCCGTTCGAGACTAATGACAGATGAATACCAATGTAGGCCTACTCAGCAATCAACACAATATATTCTAAAGCTAATTTCATATAGAGCCATAATCATTTCAGAAGACATTGAACACAGTGTCATTTTAAAACTATTTACACTCATGAGGAACTTTGGTATTGGTTCCTGAGGTAAGTAGTTAATGTTTAACGTCTTAATATCATAAAAGTTTATTATAGTAAAGAAGAACTCCAACTATCCCAACTCCAATTATCTGGACTGCCAACAGAGTACATTTTGAACTACAATAAAGAATCTATACTAAAGAAGGCAGAAGCCATTATGACAGCAGAATCCTGAACATCATCGGCAATCGAGCTGAATCATTGTCTCCCGTCGTCACAGAAAAATCTTCACCGTTTTCTGTGATCCCTGCAAAACCTTTAGCATCTTCCGCAGTCTTGTCCGCATCATTGTCTTTCAAGATCCCGGCAAAAGTGTGAAACTTTCATTCATGAAATCTTGAGGCACGTTATGCTATCACAATAGAAATAATTCAGCCTATTTTCTTAAAAATGTCACAATTTCAGTAAAAATCCAATTTATATTTTAAATTCAAATGTGGTACGGTTGCAATTGATTTGAATAATTGGAGTGCTACCATATAAATATGAGTAAAATAGCATTGCTGCTGATAACTAAGGTTGCAACGACCATTCAAAAGATCCTCAGGAAAACGAAGGTTGTTTTTTCTTAGCTACATTGATTCGTGCCAATTTTTATACTTATTGTATCGGAAGCATACAAGGATTATTTTAAAATAACTTAAAAAAAAACTTACAAAATTCGCTGACAACACCTTCAAGTAGGAGTGTGTAGAAACCTTTATCAGAGGCCTTGACCTTCGATTTGTCTGCTGATGCAAGTGGTTCAAATACCCTGTAACATAATCAGAAACATAAGTCCTCATCCAGGATAAAAACCTTGAATACCCCCGTCGCAGCAAACCTGCAGACTAAGCGAATTACCATTTGCCCGATTAGATTTTCAATTAAATCTATTTAAATAACATTATGTTTAACAAGAACAGTACTTAGGTTTGCCGCTACAGGGAGGGTAGTAATGTGGGTTTTTAGTAGAATATCAATAGCTTAGTATAAATTAAGTTAATTTGTCAAGTTTGATCAAAATATACCCGTAAACAAGCAAACTACAACAGTTTACTTATTCTCCATGAGAATAGTAGGGTAATTTTACATTTAAGATTTTAAATTTTTTTTCCCGTAACCAATAACCGTAAAAAACCGTAAATAAAATACTAAATTATTTGCTTTTTTAAGCTCTAAAAATTGGTACTAAAAGAAATTGGGATTATTTTTTGTTTTGAGGGTCAAAAATGAAAGAAACCAATTTTTACCCCAAAACCCCCTGTTAAGCCCCGTTCCCATAGTACGATCATGCTGCTTCGCGAACTTATTCAAGTTTATCCCGCCCTACACCTTCAAACCAAATTTTATTAAAAACAGACAAAAATTACTCAAGTTATCGCGGAGTTCGAGTTCACACATATATATATTTCTTAAATAAAAAAAAATTTTAATAAAAAAGAATAAAAAAAGGGTACTCATGTTATTTTACATATTATTTATTAATATATATATGCATATATAAAAATGTATATACATATATAAAAACAAATATGTGTTTTTGGCCTCTGGTGACATTAAAACGAAAAAAGTAAATTGGTCCCGGGTCTAGGTCTTACCATGAGACATACGGTAATAGCTATGTCCCTATAGGGAAATTCGCTAAAAACCGTGACGATATAAGCTCCAGCTGAGCTGGCTATCACAATAGAATCGGGTACAGTAGAGTCCCGCAAACTCGGCACTCGATAACCCGGCAGTCTGGATAACTCGGCCATCACCTGGCTCAGAAAATTAGTGATATTTTGAGTCCGAGTTAAACATGGACTCAAGCCAGCTCAAGTAAAATTATTCACAACTCGTACCAAGGATTTTTTGTACTACATCTGATTACTTAATACTGACTTGTAATAGAAAAAAAGGAGGTTAAAAAGCTTAAAAATTGTATTGTCCTTATTTTTAACCCTAGTTCCCGATAACCTGGCATTTCACAAACTCAGCACCCTTCCAGTCCACATTACGCCGAGTTTGCGGGACTCTACTGTATTTATTTTGTCTGAATAGCAATCTTATAGTTTTTTGTCCTAGTTTACTAGAGTTTGGGATTGTTTTTAACATTAGTTCAGGCTAGACCTAGGGATTGCGGCATTTTAACTTAGAAAAATCCATTGGTGATCTGACGGGATTTGAACCCAGGAAGTCAGAGACCGAAGTCCTGCGCTCTACCACTAGGCCAGCTCACTTTCCTCTTATGGTATAGATGGCTAGTATGTATCACATTTAAAATTTGCAAGTGCTTCTAGCTTTAAAATTTAACATTTATTGTAATAGTTTAAAAATTTGTTTAATAAAACCAACTAGCCTAGGGCAATAGGAAAGATATTTTTCAGTTAATTAAAAACAAGTGTATATTTTTCCCATTTTAGTAGATTTTTTAACACTAAGTAAAACATCATCTAAAATCAGAATCAGAATCAGAATCAGAATCTTTATTGCCGTTGATCAAATACATTGAGATAGGCATTGTCAAATTAGGCTAAATATTTACATTGGTCGATAATACAAAGTAACAGAGTAAAAAAGGCTTAATCTAAGGCTAGATTAGAACAGTCGAACCCAAGAATTCTTGAAGAGTGTAAAACGGATTTTCTAACAGCCACGAGTAAACTTTAGACTTGTAGATAGGAATGGTTGCTTCAAAGAGAGGCTCAGGCAGCTTATTATAGAACTTAATACAATTTATTTTAAAAGAGTTACCTGTAAGTGCAAGCCGGTGCTGAGGAATGTCCAGTGCTCCTTTGCCTCTTGTGTTATGTGAGTGGATGTCCTGTCGAGTGTAAAATTTATGTAGATTACATTTTGTGTACATCAAGACATTGTAAATGTATAGGTTGATGACTGTGCAAATGCGATATTTTATAAAGAGTGGTTTGCAGTGTTCCACAGGGCCCACCCCGGCGATAGTGCGGATGATTTTCTTTTGTAGTAAAAGAACATCATAAATATGAGGTGAATGACCCCATAAAATAAGACCATATTGCAAATGAGATTGAAACAAGCCAAAATATGCTGATCTCAGGTACTCCATGCTGATAAGAGGTTTAAGTTTCCAAAAAAGATAAATGACTCTTGACAACTTTTTACAAAGATTGTTAATATGAGTTTTCCAGTTCAACCTGCTGTCAAGGTAAATTCCCAGAAGTTTGACTGAATTTTCAGGTAGGTTTTGTAAGAGAGAAAATATTATGCTTTGAGTTTTATTTTCATTACAAATAAGTTGATTAGAGGAAAACCAGTTCAAAACATGATTGTTTGCATCCTGAATTGTGTGGTCAAGAAGGTTTAGATCTCTATTGGCAGCAAAGATTGTTGTGTCATCAGCATAGATTGTACATTTTACAGGTAAATTACGAGGAAGATCATTTATGGCCACAATAAAAAGAAAAGGGCCAAGGACAGAGCCCTGCGGAACACCAGCCTTGATTTGTGTAACTGATGAATTTTTACCTTTAACACATACAAACTGTGATCTATTGGTTAGATATGATTTGAGTAATTGTAATGAGTTGCCCCTAATTCCATAAAATTGAAGCTTCTTAATCAAGATATCAAAAGGGATACAATCAAAAGCTTTGGTGAGGTCATAGAGGAGCATTGACACTGATTCTCTATTTTCAAATGCATTCAAAATGGACTGTGTAATTTCTGACACCGCCAATGTAGTGGATCTACCTGGTCTGAAGCCATACTGTGAATCAGTTAACAGGTGGTTTGAATCAAAATAATTAGTTAACTGCTTTAAAATAATTGCTTCAAATATTTTAGAAAATGTTGGAACAATGGAGATAGGGCGATAATTTTGACAAAGTGATTTATCTCCTTTCTTAAAAACCGGAATTATTTTAGCAATTTTTAATTTTTGTGGAAAAATGCCAGCACGTAGGCACTCATTGATGACCAGAGCCAAAGGAGTTTCAATTAAGTGTATGGTCTTCTTAATGATGTAATTTGAGAGCCAATAACTATCCATAGATTTTGAGTTTGAGAGTTTATAGACAGTGTTGGTTACCTCATCTGGTGTAATGCAAGTCCAATTGGAGTGTATGTTCTCACTTGGTTCAGGCCCAAGCAAGTCCTCAGCTGTTGTGCATGTTTGGCTTACCAGGTTGGTAAGTTCTTCAACTGAATCTGTAAAATAACTATTGAGTGTATCTTGGTCTATTGTAACTTCGGGTGTACGAGTTGTAGTGTTTTCATGTATTATAATGTCCCAGGCAGCTTTGCACTTGTTATTTGAAGTCTGAATGAAATTCTCATAAGCATTTTTCTTGGCAGTAGCTAATTCTTTCCTGTAGTACTTTTTTATTCTTAGATAAGTGCTGTAAGCTGACTGAGCCCTTACAGAATCCAAGTTTAAGAGATTTTTATACTTAGTATAGTGTGCTAACATCAAGTCTCTAGTCTGCTTTAATTGAGGACTAAACCAGTTTAGTTTATGTTTTTTACCTTTCACATTAGTTTTTTTACGAGCTTTTTTACTAACAAGGGGCGAGCAGTAATACCATAGTTCTCTAAATCTATTGAAAAAAGCATTAAACAAGTCTTCTGCAGTACCATTATGGTTATTAAGACAGTCCCATGACTCATCCATTAAAACATGACAAAACTTTGTAATATTTATATCATTTTGCTTCCTGAAAAACAGGGTTGGCCCAGTATCAGTTTTATTATTATCTAGTGTGACATGTGTCTTATATTTAAAAAGTAAAGGATCATGATCTGCAATTGTACCTGGCAAGAGTGAAATTTCATAAAATTCTCTAGAAAAATTTACAATAACATTATCAATACACGATTTATTCCTGGTAGGTAGATTATTTGTACACACTAAATCTAATGTCCTAAGTAAATTCATGAAATTTATTGAGTTTTGTTCAATAACATTAGCCATTTCAATGTTAAAATCCCCACAGATAATTAACTTACTGCCCCCTCTCATCAAACTTTTAATTGCATTTTCAAACATTTCAAAAAAAACATTAATATCACCATTGGGTGATCTATAGACACTAACAATAGTAACATTTTGTTTTATTAATCTAATACAACATAGTTCACAATTAAAATCAGATGAAAAACAATCAAGATTAATAGATTCAAACTCAATCGATTCTTTAACAAAAATAGCCGAACCACCATTTCTATTACTACTCCTACATCTAATACTAGCAGTGATAAAATTATTTGGTACAAAAATTTCGACTTGATCAGACGATAGCCAATGCTCTGACATACAGATAACCTCAACTTTTTCTAAAAAACAAAGATGTTCCAGAGATAAAATTTTATTACGGAGACACTGGCTGTTTACTTGTAAAATTGTTAAAAGGTCATCTTTGACAGAACTACCTCCGGACATAGGCCTATTTAAACTACCACTAAAAAAGAAGAAGAGTCAGCATTTTGTATACCTTCGTCAGGTCCTCGGGGTAGAATACTTGCCGGCTGTGTAGTTACCTGCGATGAGACAATACCTTCAGGATTCTGGGTAGAACTGGGTGGAGAAGCTATAGGCAATGAGGGATGATCAGGTAAAGTTTCGACTATCGATGTAGGATGGGTCACTACAGTTCTTTGGATCTTGATAATTTTACCGATGAGATTTACGAGCACCCTCTTCCCCTTAGTGTTGAAATGCTGTCCATGTCTAGTGTGAAAAGATCTGTCACAACTTTCAGTATTTATAAGAGAAACATTATTGAAAACCTTACAGAGATCCTTGATTTTCCCATTAGTTTCAGAAATCAGTTTATTAACAACCGATGAATCCGGTAAATCATGTCTATGAGGAACATTGGCAACTATTACCTTTGTACTTTTCAGCACCTGTAGAGTATCTCTAAGTCCGTTCACCACATTACCAGAAGAGTTTTTAGCTATATCGTTAGCCCCAGCCATGAGCACAACATAGTCATCTGGTCCTAAATCTTCACATTCATACTTCACGTTGGCAGTTACATCACAAAAAAGAGCACTAGGTTTGACAGTTCCCTCAGTATCAAAATACTGGCCCCACGCTGTCCTTGAAATTATTGAGGAAATGCCACGACCAAAACTATCAGTGTAGATTCTTATTTTCTTGGTTTTCCTGGATGATTTGGTAACTTTAGTAGGCTTAGTCCAGTCAGACGATTCACATTGGTTTGTGCGAGGCCTAGACAAAACTGGAGAAACCTGCTGGATTTTTCCTGCGCGCCTCCTCGCATATCTTCCCCGCTCGTCTGATGTGGGTTGGTTATCAGACTTAAAACTTGTATTATCCTCTTGGTACAAACAGGTAAATCTATTACTAGTGGAGATAGGTGGGAAGTCCCTAATGTTTACTGGAAAGCTACCATTTAGGCCCTCCCCTACACTGGAGTTTCTAGAAGACCAAGGCCTAGGCCTATTTTTAGAGACAGGTAGAAACTCATTAGGCCTACTTATTGTATCTACTAATTCTGGATTTGAGGTTAGGCCTACTATTTCCTGTTCACGCTTTAAACACATTTCACTTAATTCTGTAATTCTCCGCGCAGCTTCTTCATAAAGTCTCTTATATTCCTTAACATCAGCCTCCAACAATGAGGCATGCTTGGTTAAATTCTTAATTTCTTCCTTAAGCTGTTGATTGGTAGACTTAAGTCCACACTTTTCACAATACCATTTCTCATCAGTCCCAGATAAGCGGTCATATTCACTGTCACTAAGTCCAAGACACTTGGTGTGATACCATTGTTCACATTCATGTTCACAAAGGATTGCCCTACAGTTATCAGAAACCGATTTAAGGCAAATGCCACATTTGGGTTTGGTTTTAGTCATTATTCAACTTTAAGTCAAGTGAAATAGGAATCTTGCAACAAATAGTGGAATATAGCCAAGTCCACAAGAAAGTTGAGGTTAGAAATGGTTATGTTGAGATATAAACCTCAATTTAAATAAAAATACTAAAAGTCTTTCACCAAATTTCACAAAATAATACCAAAGTACAAGCTCTGCCGTAAAACAGCATATGAAAGTAAAATATTTAATAAATTTCTAAAACAGTCTTTTTGAAGTTACCTCTTGAGGGTATGTAACATGAGGTCAACCGATCTATGAAGAAATTCCTTATATGCTTTGGATAAAATTACATAAATTATACCTCAAAATACTCAGCATACACTTAATAATAAATTTCAAAAGGAATTCACGGGATAAAACTTCAATTAGCTAGGATTACAACGGATAAAAGTAACTTAGAAAACAGAGCAAAGTATCTCAGAGCCGCCATCTTGAAGAGAGCATATTGGAGAGCCAAAACTATGTTACTTGGTAAAAAATGTGGTTTACTTAGTCAGGTGCGAACTAGACTAATTCATGTGAATGGAATATTAAGTATTTAAATACATTTCCCATCCCTGATCAGAATAGAGTTGGAACAGATTTACTAATTTTAATTTTTTGTTGGGGTAATAATTAATGATACTAACAAAAGTCAAATGAAGACAGTAACAATACTAGGGTTTAGGGTATGGACCGTTTCCTTTGGAAAAAATGCTAATGGCGTAGAATAACACATGAAAATAACTTCATACCCTTACTATTGACATTCTAAACTGTGAAAACAAATCTAGGTTTATCTAAAACATCTTTCATTGGAATACATTTGATGTTGTAGGTTTTAGTTTTTTCTTATTTTTTCAAAATACAAAATAAGGCTCAGGCACCAACTGATCTAACCTAGCTGAGATTTTAATATTTTAATATTTTAATTAATATTTACCAGCCAACTAGTTTTTTACATTGAGAGCAAGTGCAGGGTTTCCATGCGTAGCCTGGGAACCAAGAATGTTCTACAGCCCAATCCTGAAAAACAGAGTAATTGAAGACAATTTCAGCACATATAAATAAAAAAATATAATATTTAGGACTTGATTTCTGGAAATAGAGTTGCCGGAATGACAACCTACCGTGAGCTAACAGCCCCTCTCATATAGTACCTTACTTTCCCCACAGAACAATTTTTCTATCCAAAATGTTGTCTCCTATAAGGAAATTCTGTTTACAGTATTATTTTTTTTTTCAATTTAAACTAAGAACTAAGTGTAGTCCTTAAAATTTTACCAATTCAAAACATTTCAAAATGTTTGTTCAATGGTAAAAGTTTGTTGTCTGATTAAAGATAGGCCTAGTCATGGAGAACACACAGAGGAAAAGTTCATTGGTAAACTTAAGTGGCATCTAGCACAATTCGATGATGTCTAACACAAAGTTTAACACCGCAGCTTCTATCCCATCTTGCCATCACCTACTCACACTGGAAGTAGCACCAATAGAAACTTCTGTACAGTGCTCACAGCATGGGTTTTCTTTGCTCATTAAAGGTATATTTTTATTTTTTTATTATTGTTTAATAAAATCAGAGACATAAAACATAATTGGATGGAATTCAGTGAATGTCTAGTGTGTAATACAAATAATCTCTTTATTTTCAATATAGGCCTATTAAATTTGTCCTTAGAGAGCATAAGTTTAGTAGTTAAAAGTAACACCAAGAATATGCATTATGCCTTTAACCATTGATAGAAGTGGACATCCATTGTCTTAAATAATTCTCATGTTAAAAAAAGCTGTAGCCACGTTTAAGGCCGGTCCACACGTAAGGATTTCTCTCACGACATTGCAGTCAAGTTGTTGGGTCTGGACAGTAAAACTGTGCATTTTTGCAAACTGCGGAGGAGAGCATAGTTTTGACAGCGTTTTCAGACAGGTCTTTGCTAATGTTCCTGTGAGTTTATTCCCAAATTCATCGAACTGTACAGAAGTTTTCCTTGTTTATGGAAGGTCAAGAGCAAGGAACATTGTGACCGTGATTTAAGAAGAATCAGGCTTAGAGTCTGGTCAAAAAATACAAAGCAGTAGATTCAAACGTGAACACAGAAACGATTATGAAAATGTTTGTTTGTCGTTTTAGAAACCAATCGTCGTTTTAAAGAAATTATACATAAAGGACAACTTATCAGTTACGGTATTGTAATTCTAAAGCAAGTTTTATGACACCTAAACCATCATACAGTAACAAAAACTAATGGAGAAAATAAAACTTTGACTTGACACTAACTGTGAGTCGCTTATTCAATTAAGTTGAACTAGAATCAAAAATAGGCTACAGCTGGCCTATATCCGGGAGCGTTTCATAATCTCAAAATTTCACAAACTCCAACGCTTAAAATATTAAATGAACAGAGCGTTTCATAATGTCCAAAATTCATAAGCTCCAAAACTATAACATTAAATAATGACTGTTTCACAATGTCCATATTTCACAGACATCAACGATGATTTCACAAAGTCCAACGTTAATATATAAAATAAACAGAGTGTTTCATAATGTCCAAATTTCATAAGCTCCAAGTCTATAACATTCAAATACTCACCGTTTCACCATGTCCAAATTTCACAAACTCCAACGTTTAAATATTAAATAAACAGAACGGTTCATAATCTCCAAATTTCATAAGCTCCAACGGTACAGTCTGGGCCAGAAGTCTCTACAGTGGTTGGCACGGTCAGATAGCAGGCACCGTCCGCCGGTGCTCAACTACTGATTATACTTGCATTTTAATGATTGAAGAACACTAGATGTGTGACTAAAATATTTGTTAACACATGATGTGCAAATTAAATTTACATTTTTATATTTTTCATATCTTTAACTCAAGCTTTCAGCTGAGTTTTTTTATCTGTACTAGCTGACAAAATTATTTAATTACTTTTAAAATATGAATACCCAAAATGTTAACATGGGAAACTCCACAGCCAGGAGTCTGAAAGGATTTTTGTGATAAGAATATGTCTATATGTTAATCGGGAATATGTGCTATCATCATGCCAAATTTAAGACCTATCCGGCCTGTAGTTAATGCGTTATTGGACTTCAAACAGACAAAAAAGACACACAAACTTTCACAATTTATAATATTAGTTAGGAAGGAGGATTATATTAACGATTACCTATCCATGATGTAATATACAAACTAATAACTTCATTGATAGGTAACTTAATTAATAGTGTAAATCAAATAAGGAAAATGGAAATTCTATTAGTCTGCAGGTTTGCTGCGGAAGGGGTATTTATCAATACTTTACACTCTTCAAAGCAACTATGGACCAACAATGATGTTTCGTGATGCGCCGCTACAACACTAGAACGTGTAGCGCCTACATATCGAACCACGGCAACTTCTGCAGCGACTTCTGGCCGAGACTGTACCGTTGGAGCTTATGAAATTTGGAGATTATGAGCCACTCTGTTTATTTGATATTTAAACGTTGGAGATTGTGAAATTTGGACATTAAGAATTGGTGATTATTTGAAAGTTATAGTTTTGGTGCTTATGAAATTTGGAGATTATGAAATGCTCTGTTTATTTAATATATTAATGTTGGACTTTGTGAAACAACCATTGGAGTTTGTGAAACTTGGACATTGTGAAACGGTGCTTATTTGAAAGTTATAGTTTTGGAGTTTATGAAATTTGGGCATTATGAAACGCACTGTTTATTTAATATTTTAGACGCTGGAGTTTGTGAAATTTGGACATTACGAACCTCAACCCCTATATCCCATAGGACGTGTACTTCAATATCTAAAAGTCAATGCTTAGAGTCCTATCTCTAACCTTTGAAGAGGCGTTACAGGTTGTTTCCACAACCGTGATGACTTTGAATTTCAGTATGGGAGGATATACCAATTCCTGAACAAGAACTTGTTGTAAACCAAATAATGACTTGTTGAATCTGGAAACAGCAGAAGGACTTCGTAGATTAACTATCGTATCAGCTGCTGCCAAGTCATTACCGCAATCTCGACACAAAATGTAGTCTAGAAAAAATAGCCTAGGTTACACAAGTTAATATAGGCCTAGGAACGTTCCAGACGATTATCCGGAAATTATGTAGGAGAAGGTGACCAAGAGAACCATAGTAATTTGTATATAATTAGAAACTATATTTTTACCTGAAAACAATGGTGCAAAAATCTTTGTTCTGTCACAAAAACGTAATAAACTACGATCGTTAGAATTTGATTAGGCCTGCCGTAATTCCTCTTGTCTGCTTGTCTCTGTCGCCATTACTGTGAACGATTGAAAGGCTCGTCTAGGAAAGAAGAAGAAACCTAAGATGACAAACATTAAGTTTGTACAAAGAGGTAGAGGCATTTATAAATTCAACTGAACATTGATTAGGCTATGAACTACTTAGGCCTAATCAGTTCTTATTTAGACATGTGATGTAGGTAGATTGGGTGATATGTGGATTCGTGACTGTATAAAGTTTTTTGAAGTTAGGTTAGATTAGGAATGTAAAGTTTAGGTTATAATGAATCGAGTTGTTCAGATCTTGATCTATGTTATCTCTAGACTGTTTTTGCACTTTGTAAATAGGTAGTGCTATAAACAAGATAAATAATAATTTCCAAAATGCTTGCCCACTGTCTAAGTGTGGGTTGTGAGGGTAATATTTACTTTAAAATTGCATACAATCAATCAATAATGTGACTTGGGCTATTAACTTTGATTTTAGAGTATATATATTGATGTGCAGATCAACAATTAAAATAGGCTAATAGGCCTACAACATTAAAATAAAATTCAAACGATCGTAGTTTATTCAGTTTTTGTGACAGCAGAAAAATTTTAGCACCATTGTTTTTAGGTAAAAAACTAGTTTCTAATGAAACATTAATGGTTCTATAGGTCACCTTATCCGACATAATTACTGATTATTCAACACAATTGAATCTATTAAAGGGACTGTAGGCCTATTCCTAGTTAAGAATAAATGTAAGGTAGGCTAGACTAGCTTAAAAAAATAGAAAATTTACTTAGGCTAGGCTAACTTACTAAGTAGGCTACCTATGCTTATTTTATTGGTAAGGCAGGCCTCTGTTCAACATTTTGAGTTTGAACAGTAAAAGTTGGCCAACAACGAACGTCTTAAAACGCTATTGATCTGTAAGACCACTAAGTTATTTATTCCCGTTAAATGTTTGAGCTCAAAGATCCAATATACGTAAAACATAAGAGTAATACAGTACACAACCAAATTTCTACTAATAGTTTAAAACTAAGTCCTATCTAAGAACTACTGAGCTTAGCAGTGGCGGTCCCAGAGGAGGGGGGGGGGGGGGTGGAAGGGATATATCCCACCTGAAATATTTTATATTTTATTAGCTAACATAAATACTTTTAGATTGAGCATATATTAGAGCTTAAAAACGTGTAAAAATATGTTTTAGGCTTTAAATTCCTCATTTTTTTCAGGGGGGCCCCTGGACCCCCTTTTTTCTGGGGGATATTCCATACCACCCCGTGCTCATCCCCCCCCCCACCGAAATGAAATCCTAAGGCCGCCACTGGAGCTTAGTGTTTTTGTTGACCAAAGTTGTTGATTCCTGATCAATGTCCAATCTGTTAAAGGCATTTGCCAGGAGACAATTCCGTAGAGCAAAGGGTTTGAATCCCGTCTTGGTCAGGTTTTGTTTGCAACTGAGGAGGAGACACTAACTTATGTCTAGGCCTATGGCTGAGCTTGATGGTAGAGCTCTAGGTAAGCTTAGTAACTTCCCCCCCCCCCTTCTAAAATCAATGGTGCAAGGCTCGGGTGTATGTTTGCGGTATTGGTAGATTCTTTGTTAGTTGCACCTTATATCAGACAATTTACCACTTTATGCTTAACCTTCCTGTGTGCATGTGTCCAACCAAGACATAAGAAATAATTCTGGCCTAGGCCTATTTGGATTTTTGTTAAATTATAGCCTACAAGATATCATAACTAGGTATAAGTATAATATAGTATTATATTATAATATAGTATCATAACTAGTATAATATCGAATTAAGCCATGGAGTTTATTGATTCATAGAGTTAATAATAAATAAAACTTATAAATTAAGTAATAGTAAACAAGTCATGCAACCTGTTGTAGGTAATTGATCTTCTTGGGAAACAAGAAGTGTGGGCAGGATACAAAGTAAAATGTAAACACTTCTGCAAACCATCAATGTGTCCTGATTTTAAACTCATAGATGTATAATATTCAAACGGTATGGTGTCACTCAAATAAAAGTTTAAGACGTTAACCATCCGATGAGGATTAAGTTATTAAAACCAAACTCACCTATCACTACATAGAACAGACTGACTAAGAAACTACTAAAGTGACTAGACTACACGAACACGACTTCAAAACAAAAGATTTGTTGGTTAATGGTTATGTCCAACTTGTTTGATTTTGTTGACATTTCAATTTTTTGCCATTATTAGCAGTATAGCCAACTGAGTTCCGTGGTTTCACTATTGATCACGGATACTAGAATTTAGAAAATACCTTGAAGATTACATTAAAGGTGGCCGTGACATTATACTGTATCTTTTATAGTGTTCTGTTACATATAAATCCAAGGCAACGATATAACTAATAAACTGATGAACTATTTTTAGACACTTTTTTCAAGATTGTCATTAATAAGGCATTTAGTTAGTGGTTACACTCACTTCCATGCAAAAATTGCCGTCATGGGGATAACGTACAACAACCTTAAGAAATTAAATTTCCAAACTCACTTATACTATTGTAGAATAATGAGGGTGATTTTTTGGGAATTGTAGGAATTTTTTTCGATGTTATAGTAATTTGTCTATGGTCAGGTAAACGGTTTCTTGAAGAATTTAGCGAGTAGGTATATGAATGACTCGTGTTAGTTGGTTAGATGGTATTTACCTTTATTTCTAAATAAAAATATTCTACAGACTCAGTAGATACCTAAAATATATGGGTATTACAAAATTGTTAGATACTGACCCTCACCGCAGCATACCTGCAAATTGGATTTTAAAATTTTAAAACGTCAGATTAATTCCCTACTTAAAAAAACATTATGTTTAACGAGAGCTTAGGTTTGCAGCTTAAGGGGAAATCTCCATAGAAATTACATGGGAATTTTAAATTTACAAATTTGTTTAGTTTATCCGTGTAACCAATATAACAGTACAAACTTACTTCAAGATACTAAATTATTTGTTATTTTACATATATTTTACTTATTTATTTTTTAGCTCTACAAAATCGTTTGGAGAGAAATTGGGGAATTCAATGTTTCGGTGGTCAAAAAAGCAAACAATTTTTTACCCCATAAATCCATGTTCCTATGGTCTGATCATGCTCAGGTGCGGACCCCCCCCCCAAACAGATAAAAAATCCGAACAATTTTTTTGTTAACCCCGGACCCCCCCCCCGCACTTTACTGGGGCTATACCAGACCATATCCCCATGACTACAAACCCCCTTACAGAAATCCTGGATCTGCCCTTGCATGCTGGTTCGTTAACTTTTTCAAATAGGTTCACACGTTTGTACCAAATTTAACCAAAGTCGGATGATTTTTGCTCAATCATGCTAACGCATACAAACACAATCCGTTCATTTTTTATACAGTTACAGTACAATATAGTGTTTTGGCCTCTGTGGACATCAGAACGAAAAAGTAAATCGGTCCCAGGTCCAGGTCTCACCATGAGACCTACGGTAATAGCTTACTCCTTGTATGGTAAATTACTAAAAATTATGTTAAAGTAATGAAATACATAACATTATGAATTAGATAAATAAGCAAAATTTAGAACGCCTGTATGATTGTCTGCGACAAAATGCAACAAATACGCGCTGCGGGCTGCCGCTACGTTGTTGCTGGCACTTTATTATTACGAGTAAAAAAAAACTTGTAATAATCATCTGATCTGGTAAACATTGTTGTAATTTTTTTTTTCAGAAAATGTGTTTATTTATCTGAAAATAATATTATTTTGGATTGCAAAGTTATGTATTCAGCACGTCAATGCAGGGCTACAGATATACATATCTATACATATCTATATGTATATCTGTAGCCCTGACGTCAATGACTGCCAAACAAATTGAACAAATAAATTGACTAACAAGATGTTCATGGTTAAACAATCATTAATGTAACCTATAAATCGATTGTTGACCGTTACACCAGAAACGTTACACAAAGCACCCGTATAGAAATATATAATACCCCCGCCGCAGCAAACCTGCAGATAACAAACGATGGAAACCACTCTGCAATGGACATATATTTGAAGGACGTAGAATCTCTTCTCAAGGGAGCCAAACAGTAAAAAATAGGAGCTATAGTAAAATTAATCTACTTTTTCGTTTAGGAATATATTTTTTCCTTATACTTAAAGTTTCAAGGATATGCTAGGGTTTTTTTGTCTGAGTCCTATAATATGGTAATTAACATTTTTACCATCGTACAATTTTATGCTCTGGAAGACATTATATTTTAATGTTTTACTTGCAGTTTTCCGATGAATCGGATCTTAAATGTTTCAGATATGGCGATGTGAATTAGAAGTGGTTTTAGAATATTGACAACACCACACTTTCTCGATTCCTAAATTACATATTACGACTCCTCCAGTGATCACTTTTCTGAAAAACATATTTAACATTGTTTCGCAGGTTTAGAAATTTACTTACAAAACGAATACACTCCGAAGACACATTGTGAATTTAACCATGACACTTTAGCGGTGTCAAGTCTAATCATGATCAGTAAACTGTAACGGCTAGACAATTATTGCGATCCTTCTTGATACGTAAACCATGAATTTTCCACACTCGGGCGGACACAGAATTAATTGAATGCAAAATATTGTGTAGGAGTAAGTCTGGTACCCAAATTGCAGGTAATTAAATTAATGCAAAATTTAATACCGGTAACGTATCAAATGTCCCCGTGTATGCATTAACAATCATAATATTTTTTTAATCTTAGCTCGCTAAGACAACGTTTTATGTTACGAAATTAAAGCACCTCTGAAGAAACGAAGTTTTGAATTTATTTCATAAACTATGGAGAAATTGGCACATTATGGGTATCTACCAACTTCTAGACACCTGAGTGCTCTTCTTCTACAACTTTATGATTTTATGTTCGGAATTAGGAATTGCCGTGACATCCAATTAATGGCTATGAAGAAGTGACGATGACTCTTCCAGCGAGAATATTTCTGAGGAGATATATTTTTCAATTTCACCGACAGGTTTCCGAAAAAGCATGAATAAATGTGAAATACTCTAGATAGAAGAACCAAAAGCATGAATTCCATTCCAAAACTGAATTGTCTAAAATAATTAGTGACGCTGATTCAAGTCTGTTCATAAGATTTCTACTCGTATTCACTTTTGTAATTTTCTAATACAGTAGCTAATATCTGGGAAATAGTTATTTGTGCAACTAGTGAGAAAAGTGAGCAATTGACTCACTCGAGAGAAATCCTCACGAGCCGTAGGCGAGTGAGGAATGGTTTCTCGAGTGAGGCAATTGTACTTTGAACTCGAGTTGCACATTATAATTTTCCTACAGTTACCATAAAACAAATAAATTGGTGAAGAAACATAACCTATTTTTACACAGAAGTGAACTTTTATTACAACATTTAATGTGAAGTGACAAATACAACAGTACAACAGCTGACCAGCTGATTTACAGCCAGTGCTGCCAACGTATTTCGCGCGCATACGACGTTGCCTGCATGTTACGCGCTCACTATTTCGTGCCTTCACGTTGCAAATCTGGAGTGAGACAAAGTAATTAGAGTGAGACAATGTTGACATTGTCTCACTGATGAGCGAATTGGCCACTTTGCTTTCTCAAATCAGTGAGAGAACATGTACATTGTTAGGTAACTGTAGGAAAAATATTTTTTTGCCACTGATCCCGATTCAGCATATGAGCGAATATAATATTCTCCAGTGTCTAAAAGTGGCAAATTTGTTAATTCATCTACAAAACTTCGGGAATAAGAAGGGTAACCATTGTTTTTTTCATCCACGATGGTAAGATATTTCACTGTCGATTAACTGGGAGAAATTCTCACTCGGTCGGTTTCACCATTAAATGCAAAAGCTATACGAAACTGTTTATTCAGATATTTAATAATCAAAACCGTATCCATAGGCCTATATAGTGGACTTCGATATCAAAGTAGCCCTTTATAACAATTGTCATTGCATACTGTACCCTTTATATTACCCGTAATTGCAAACCTTTATAAGGAGTCAACCATATATAAGGGTTACAAGTCATATTTGATCACACCTATGGGATACTGTTTATCAAGGTTTTACTGTATTTCCTAGTCGAAATATTTCTAAGTAGAGATACTTTATTTTCTAATTGTTTATCGGTTAGGTTCCGAATTGAGTTATAAATATATTTTACCACTGAAGAAGCGAAGTTTTGTCCCGCAACCAAGGTATAATACAATTTTGTTCCCTGCAACGACCACAATTTAGCACCCCTTTATTGATAAGTTTAGTAATTACACACTCGGTCGGCCCTGTAGGCAGGGCCGGACTTACCTATGGGCGAAGGGGGCGAACGCCCGGGGCCCCCGGGCCAAGGGGGGCCCCTAGGGGCCCCCTTTGTACAGTAGTTTTTATTAATAACTTCGAAAATTGATCAGACACTTACCAAATGGCCTTCTTTTGTAACAGTTTTATTTTTATTTTCGTTATCCTATGTTTAAGGTTATTGTTAGGTGCATTTTAAGGCATAACTAGGAATTAAATTCTTGACCCTAAGGGATTTTTTTTCAGAGTTGCACTTGGCCCCACGCTTAGGCCTGGTTTACACGAGTATATGTGCTAGGCTGTGACGGACAAGTTTCAGTTTCAATGAAGCCGCTCGCCCGACTGTACGGCCGCGGCGAATGAGTTGAAGGGGGTCCCGCGCTTGGGGCAAAAATACAATAAATATGAAAACTCTTGTCCCAACGTAGAACGTAACTTGTAAAATTGTGTTGTTTTAAATGGAGATCCACTGGAGTTCAAATACTTTTTAAAATAAAAACATTGCTCCGTTTATGTTTTATTAAATGTTATTCTTTTCTTTTACCTCTAAGTATATACCAATCAGGATTTTAAGGGGTAGAAGTATATTATCCGTTCAATAGGTTTTGTAAAATAGTAATTAATTTATGCGTCAAAATTTTGATCTCCAATTTAGTCTTTGGAATCAAAATCATATAGCACCAGTAAGATTTTTTAAATCTATATAGGCACTTTAAAACAACTAGAGTCGTCTGATGGTATAATGATAAATGATAATGAGCTGATAAGGGATCCTGTCTAGTCCTGTCTGTCTCACGCAAGCACATACACACTCATAAAATGCCTTATCGCCTATCCAAAACAATTTAAATCACTTTATTCACTTTACTCCCATAGTTTGTCCTTTGAGACTATGGTTACGTCAAGTTGGTTGAAATTGTCTTACTTTTGTGTTATTTTATTGTAACGAGTAATGTCCAGTGGTCGAAACTCGACCAAAAATATGTAATGTACTCACTTATGTTAATGTTTCACCCCACACTGTAAATAAAACATGTGATTGGAGTTTCTTCAATTTGTTTTGATTTTCTGTTTATATTTCGTTGTTATTTCGTCACCAGCATGGCAACGCATAAGATCCATGTAAATTTTTTCAAATTGTTAAACTCATTTTTTGCGCTTATCTTTGAGCCTTTTTAAATTTATAAAGGGATTCTGCACACCTACAGGAAAATAGCTTTCTAACGGTATGCGTAGATTTTCCCTACGATGCACACGAGCTGAGAAAAAAGGTTTTAACACGTTCGCTGCTGAGCGCTAGATGCCGGGACGGCGCCAGTTGCTGAACTAACGCTCGGCCGCTGCGTGACATTGCCACCGATACACTGAATTACAGTAAAAACAACAGTAGTTATACTGGATGGCAATGTTCTGCAATAATACTGGCATTGGATATAGTACTAAGTGATTCTGATAGATAGCAGCACTACCCAGGTTACAGTCGGTAAAGTAGTGTCGCTATCTAGCAGGAAAGAGGTAAAACAAAGCCCTGTTCCAAACAACCCTGGTGGTGATTTGGGAAACTATATTTTTTATTGTCAGAAAAGTACGTCCCCACGAGCTGCAAAGAAATATAGAACGCTTGTGACGTGCTGGCTTATCCATAGCAACGTTAAACAACAATGAACGGTGACGTTCTGGAACGTTCTTAGCTCCTGGCGCCGTGGCCCGGCTGACGTTCCGGAACGTCCGTAGCAGCGAACGTGTTAAAGAAACATGCTTGCCTATTAATATATAGATAGATTCTGCAAACTAACAGTACAAAAAAAAGCTGAAGTGAGTAATGTTGTATTCAATGCTATGTTTGTGTTTTATTAATCAATATTGGATCCATTGAAACATCTTTCAGTTACTCATATAAATAGTTAGCTTGTGAGTGTTTATTAGACATTGCAAGATTTTGCTCGTCAATAAAAAACTCAAACTTGAAAATCCTTAATGGTACTTTTCATGCTAGGACTTTAACATATTATAAAAACGATAATGCCATAGGTACCAAAACCATTATGAAAATAAAATAATCACACCTATATTGTAGTAATATTGAAAAACCATACAAATCGACGGCAATAATCGATAATTGAAATACGTAATAAACAAAAATATATCAATACTTCTAATCCAAATATATTATGGTAGCCTACCATACTACCATACCAAATATGCCGTCACTAGTACTACAAAGCAACAAAAATTTTGTTTTTTGTGTATAAAATTAAAATATGCTGTATATAAAAATATGTTAAAATAGTTATATTTTAAGAACAATTTTTTATATAGAACTTATTGCTTATTTAGCCTTAAATTAGCCTAAATTTAGAAATTTTTCCTGGGGGAGGACCCCCCAATCCCACTGGAGGACCCCCCCCCCCGAACTGAAATCCTAGGGCCCCATTGGAAAATTTGCCCGGGGCCCCTGAAGTCCTAAGTCCGGCCCTGCCTGTAGGCCAAGGATCAACAGAGAACAGACCACAGCCCGTATGTTTAGCCTACCTATACCTGCGAAGGTGATAGGAGGGGGTAGGTAGACTAGGTTATGTAACATTCTTCGCCGACGACTCCTAGCACTCAGTTCTTCCCGTGCCGTCCTATGATTTTCTTCTTCACAACATAACCTCTTTTTCAAAAAACTCAAACATGGTGTATATTTTGTAACTTAGTTGGTTAAAATTTGTATTTAGTGACCTCGGAAGTGTCTAGTGCTCCAAAATGCCGCCGAATTCGGAAAGGAACAACCCATCGGCCACTATGATCATTGATGAGGTAACGTTTCTGTGTACAGTAGTAGTTTAGTTTTTAGTTTTAAAACGATATTTTATGTATACCCCGATTCCAAAAACCTGTCTGCGGACATTTTGAATAAATTAGAGAGCTGCCGGGCAGGTCACTTGTCGCTGGATCTGAAATTGGAATTTGGAGGTTATTCTATTTGATCAAATCAAAACAGAATTTCCCCTTTTGTAGAATTTTATTTATATACGGTATTATCAGCTATTATCTTTTAGTTGTAGTGAAATAATCCTATGCTAAACCACTGAACATTGCAAAAAGTTTGCATTGCATAACATTGCAAAATTTAATAACTGTAAAACCACTTGAATTAATTAAACTAAAAATATATTTACAATAACAAAACCTATGCAACTGGTTTACATAATGCCGTTTCTTATTGTTGTGTTTTGAAACTAGTTTCGTTATCTCATCAATAATTAACTGCCCAAGTAAATAAATTGGCTAGAAACATGTTATGTAAACGGTTGTTTATTTTTGTGACTTCCTGAAGTAAAATAACCCAAAGGTTTTGGAGTAAACACAACATTATCTAAGAAGGAATAGAAAAGAAACAGCAACATCTCATAACTCTATATCAAATCAAACCTACAAGTTAAAAAACCCCTTCAAATTAATTTGCTATTCGTAATCTCACAAACTTCGAAATGAATTGAAATCAGTTATTACACAGGCAAGAAAATACTTACCTATTTAAAACATGTCAAATAAACACAACCCAATAATAATTGTTCTTGTTCCTAATAAATAATTTCAATGGTTTGTAAAAAAGAATTTTCGTAAACTATAAAATATCTGTTTACGGTAAATAAAACACAGCTGAAGGCTCGGTAGCCCGGTACTAATTATTTAATTCAATATTCAATCCTTTATTGTACTTGAAGTTTGCGAACACTGTAAAAATAACTAAAGGTACGGTAAATAATAAAAGATCCGTGAACGTTGATAAAAAAACATTTCAATTAAAACACTGAAATAGTGTTCAGTAATGATTTTAATTTCACGACTATAATCGTGGCAAACAGGAAGGATAATTATTGTAAACTGTATTATATTTTTGTCCTAAAACTTTCAAAACAAATAATCATGGACGATAATGATAGGCACTTCATCTGTGCTATCTTTGTGAAAAATCCGACTATAGCTAATCCAAAATGGGATGTATACTTTAGTATCCAATGATATGTTTACGGTAAATTCAATATTCGTAGCATTTGCTGTTTAAATAAATAAGTTATATACAAAATAAACACAAAGAAGTGACACGTTTGGTTGGGTTTATTGTTTAAAAATTTAAACTAAAACATTTTCTAATACATAAATTTCATAACAAAATCGAATTGTTCAGTTTGTTTAAAGAGAATCTATAAATATATGCAGACATAGGCCTATATTGTGTAACAATTCCCTGCGAAGCACTTTAAGTGCCACTAAGATATCATGTTTACTATTGAACTGATCGGGATAAGTGTCAAATTTGTACTGCATCTTTTTATGCAAATCGTCAATATAATCATTACCAAAATAAACCACATCTAGATATAAAAAACTGTAATATACTGTCGATACTTCTGCTGCTGTAATTTCAACCAATGCAGTATTTTCTTGTTATTCAATTGATTCTTTTCATGGTTAGTTAAAAAAGAATAGTTAGCAGCTTGAATTTATTGTATACGTAAGTCAAAAATATTGCATACATTTTTAACTACTGTGTGTAGGAAAAAGAAACAATGGTGTTGCGAAAGTAATTTATTATTATTATTTTTTTGTATTATTTTTATTTTTGTTATGTTTTTTTAATGTTAGGGAATCGTATTTATGAGAATCGGAGATAAGAAAGCGCAATTTTTTATAGATGAATTACTTAAGAATTCTTCGTCAAACAATTAACTATAAACTAGTTAATTTAGATGGAAGTAGTTAGTATATTCAATCATTCAATGGTAAAAATGTATTTACCTACGACCGTTTTTTAAAGTAGCCATTTCAGTCCAGTTCTTAGAATTGAAAAGTCCCACTTTACAGCTGTTTACTTTCATATCCGCATAGTTTTCTCATATCCACACAGGTAACGGACCAATGAGGTTCAAGTATTGAGAGAAAAGAATTAAAATTGTAATGCTTCGAACGTCAACTAATCAGCTGATCAGCTGATTAGTTGACCAATTTAATTGTTGATCCGACTTGTTCATGTTGATACTCGCGTATTCTTAATTAAGTTGGTGGAAGTCCAAAAATAAATGAAATATTTGCCGAATTGTACCTGATACAATATTATTTATGGTAAGAGTGCTGCTAGCAATGTAATATTTAACGAAGTTTAACAAACACGTAATTACAGGAAATCAGCTGATTATACAACAAGTCGTTGCATCACTTTCAGTGGCAATGACAATACACGAAAACATAACCTCTCTAAAAAGTTATCAGTAGTGATTGTTAGTAATTAAATCCAGATTGATAGTAATTAAAAAACGGTCGTAGGTAAAGTAGTGTACGCAACTCGCGTTAATAGTCTTTACGACACTCGTAGAAGTTTTTAAGGCACTCGCCAAGGCTCGTGCCTTAAATTTTCTACTCGTGTCGTAAAGACTCACTTAACGCAATCGTTGCGTAAACTACTATTTTATATCTGAACATAGTTTATTTAGTTTTGAAAACATATCTCAAAATAAAACAGTGGTAATTAGAATTAGTGCTTAAACGTACAACGAGTACATAGATTTTAAATTAATACAATACTAATCAAAATTAAACACACAAGAAAATTAGGTGGATCAGATTAGTATACAAAATATTTAACCACTTGAATATTGATGCTGAAAGATTATTTTGAACAGATGGATTTATTTAGTTTTAAAATCCGACAAAATATACTAATTAAAAAAAAAAAAAAAAAAAACTGTTTAAATTTGTTGTTTTAAAGCTAGTAAATGGACGAACTTTTCACAACTTATAAAGTTTTTTGCTGCACTTTAGTATTTGTCCTACACTCATTCGAATGAAAAATATCGATCGATACATTGATTATTATTTCATTCGATGTATTTGGTTGGTTAGACATAGCCATAGACATAGACATATTTTATTTGCACATAACATTCTTTACATGTGTTACATACAGAATAGGTGCATTGTCAGAGTTAAAATTATCAGGATATAAAAAATAAAATAGTAATCAAGATAATAATATAAATTAACAAAATTGAATGATAAAACTATTCTAAACTAAAGGGGCATTGTGAAAATCTGCAATTAAATAAAAGGCTCTGTCAATTGAGTTCACCTATTTTATCTTTAAAACTATTTTCATTTAACAATTTATAGTTTGCAGGCAGCACATTGTACAGCCTCAGCCCAGCATATAGTGGACTTTTTTCATAAAGGGTCAAATGGTGCCTTGGAAATCTAAAAATGTTTTCATTTCGAGTATTATATCTATGGTTGATTTGAATTGATTCTGGGAGGTTGTTTTTAGCTGAATGAATGTAGTTTAGTGATTCCAAAATGTACAGTCCTGTTAGGGTGTGGATTTTTAAATTTCGAAAAAGGTTTTTGCATGAACTACGTGGATGAGAGCAGGTCATAATACGGATAATGCGTTTTTGTAGCCTGAATATTGATTTGACTCCGGTAGCCTGACCCCATAAGATTATACCATACCTCAATACTGATTCTACACAAGCATGATAAACCATTTTCAGAGTTTCTTTAGGAACACAGTCCCTTAAGTGCAGCAATACAATTGACATGTTAGGTTATCCTAGAACCTAACTAATCGAATTAAATGATCGAAATATCGAATAATCTATATATCGATATTTTTGAATCGAATGAATGTCAGATACTAAAGTGCAGCCAAATTTTTAATATCGCTGAGGTCAATATTAATCAGCTGTCAATCAGTGAAGTTCATGTACTCAGTTCTTGAACTTTGCCACCCTCTATCCATGTGTATAAAATCGTAATTATTTAAAAGATAGCGAAACGCTGAAGTAATAAATTCGTACTGTGAAGTAAAACTGTTTTATATTAGATAGCTTTAATCTTAGGTTATACCTTCGACTAATCGTAATTAGTCGTTCCTCTGACATTAATATTCTGAAAAAAGTGTTATGCAAAAAACACAAATTTTCAAACCACTTAATGAAAATATGTTCATTTCAACCAAATAAATACAGCTGTATCCTTAGTGTTAAATCAAAAATTATTCATATGTTAAAATGTAAACAAATCTTTTCTCCAGGAGAACATAGGAACTTTAAAGGCCACTAGGGCAGAGCCCTGATGGAGTTTCTCGAAAACGCTTCTTATTGCACACCTAGGGTTATAAATCCTCAATTGAAATCTCAATTCCAATTCCTGAGTTCCTATTGCGTGTAGTGTTTGAGATAGTGATCAGTGAGTGAGCGAGTTGCCTTTTATAAGTATAGAAGACTAGCTGTAACCCGCGGGCTTTGCCCCGTTTAACTTCTTAATTTTCAAGATTATCTCGTTCGCATGGCTCAATCACGTCCTGGTTGAAGTTTGTTCGCTACGCTCACTCACCTTTAGGTTGGAGCTCGTTCGCTACGCTCACTCACCTTTAGGTTGGAGCTCGTTCGCTACGCTCACTCACCTTTAGGTTGGAGCTCGTTCGCTGCGCTCACTTGCCTTCAGGTTAGCTCGTTCGCTACGCTAACTTGCCTCCAGGTTGAAGTTCGTTCGCTACGCTCACTCACCTTTTGGTTGCAAATTAGCTGTTGTCATAAATGTAAAAGAAATAATAGTGCTGCACCCTGTTGGTAATTTTTGTAACTTTAATGCTATTGAACATCACAGAACAGAACCAACTTGTTTAATTGAAACAGCTGTTAAGATTCAATAATTTCATTTCTCATAAGGTTAACATGGGAAACTCCAGAGCCACTGGGGCGGAGCCCGAAAGGATTTTTGAAATAAGAATATGCCTATATGTTAATCGGGAATGTGAG